CTTTTCACTGCCTAAGGGCTAGCCTAGCACAAACTGTTATTAGTATATTGTTATTTAAATTGAAACATTGCCGCCATTACCGCATCTCGACGCAAAGAAGTTCTGTTGCGTATTGAAAGTGCCTGTCACGTGTAGAGCCACTGTGAGTCGATGTGGGATAAAAGGTTTCTTGTATTAGCGCATAGATGGCACCGCTAGTTTAATATTCGGATACTTGGGAATAAGGAATGCAAGCCAGCACAATAGTAGTAGGAAAAAAGGTTGTTAGTAATGTGAAGTAATAACTCCATCGCTAGCAATGTACAACGTCATGTTGACCTCCACATAGTTCCCCATAGAAACTAAACAAATTCCTGGTGAATTTGTCACGATGGATGTACTAAGTAACCTAACCTCATGCCCATATTATCGTCCTCCACTGGTGCCTCGCTGGCGTAAACCGTTAGCGCAGACGGGTGCACCATTCCATAATCATCCATAAAAAAATTGGTAAATATCTAATTTATCTATTTTAATTATATTATAAACGCGGAAGGTTATGGATGTTTGTTATTCTTTCAATAAAAACTACTGAACGGATTTTAATGCAACTTTATAGTAATATAGATTATACATCAAAAGATATAGGCTATAAATATCACGCGGGTGAAACCGCAGGGCCCATAAACAGTCTTTCTGTAAACAGTATTTCAATAGTTAATTTTAAACTTTCGTGTTTAATATACATTATTTAAATTATTAACCGGGTCTTAACACGAATAATTTTATGGCAAATAAAGGTATTTACCTCTCTCGACGTTTCGACTAGGTTGCACTAGCCGTGGTCACGAGCTGACTGGAGTAACAGAGCGCAAGATCTCTGTGCCCCTGAATTTGTGGAACAAGAACTATCCCACGTTCAAGAAGTACTCAAGAAAAATGGTTACATAAAGAGTAGAAGGCAAAATAAGCGCGTAACAAAATCTAAAAACCGGAAGTGAACAGACAGCCAGCGTACATGACTTACTTAAGAGGAATAACGGACAAAATTGGAACAGCACTAAATAAATACTCCATTAAGACTGTATATTATCCGCCCTCAAAAGTAACGAACAATTTACGTTCACCAAAGGATAAGCTACCTTATGAAGCTCCAGGTGTCTACAAAATTGACTGTAGTTGTGGTAGCTCTTATATTGGCCAAACAAAGCGATCAATAGCCGAGAGAGTCAAAGAGCACATCGCAGCGGTTAAAAATCGACAACCACACAAATCAGCGATTGCCGATCATCTACTGAACGCAGGAACAAATCACTGGATTGAACTACATGCGCCTAAGGTCCTCTCTACTGATCGCCACTATTACCCACGAATGGTCCGGGAGGCGATTGAAATTAAAAAACATCCCAATTTCAACAGAGAGGATGGCTTAAAATTATCATCTGCGTGGAATCCAGTCATAAATAAATTCAAGCAAAGTTCAGTAGCATCAATAGTCAATAAGTGTACGGATACCGTGAGTGCTGTGTGTCGCGAACTTTCGTTAAACAATCTAGTGACGGTAGATGAAGAAAAAACTGCTGTCACCTATCTACATTGACATCGCTGTTACTCCGGTCACACACACTAGATGCAACCTAGTCGAAACGTCGAGAGAGTAAATACCTTTATTTTAGCCATAAAATTATTCGTGTTATATATATAGGTTAATAATTTAAATAAAGTATTTCAATAGTAATATGATATATATGGCTTATCTAGATCATTATTAAGATGATTAAAAGTACCAAAAAGTATTTTAAATACTTTAATATCAATTGAATCGTCTAACTATAATTAAAAATGTTTATTATTTTTGTTACAATATATAAATATAGTTATAATGTTCACTATTGTTAAACAACAATGATAATGAGATCTAAGAGGCCATAATAAATGATAAAACACATTAAAGGATACCGACTCCCGTCCTGTACCTACCATATGGGTATAACCACACGACCACGTCACCATCCCTGATGTGATGGCTGAAGTGTACGACCTGGTCACACCATAGTCGCGCAATATTTATTTTTTTATACCGGGCGCTATATACTAAATTTGATACACAGATAGCCTGAGAAAGGGCTTACTTTTTAATGCGAAAAAGGGTTGTAAGGTATTGAAAAGACAGATATGAAAGGTTGAAAACTATATGGAAGCATAGTTTTTATTTTTTTTAATATCATATAGTTATATATGTTGTATAGTTTATCATTTCTAAAGCTAGAAACTTGAAATTTATTTTTTAAGTAACTGTTATATAAATAAATTAAATAAATATGTCATTCAAAGATAAAAATGCTACCTTTATGGCGTGATATAAAATAGAGACATTCAAAGAAATTTCACTTCCCAGGTCATTTTGAAGCTAGAATTATGAAAATTGTCTTTGGTTTTTTTTAGTTAGATTATTAAATTTTTTTCTTTAATTTGTCAAGGTTCACTATTCCTCGAGGACGAGGGAAAGTGGATTGAGTATTCTTATTGAGTTAAGGCAATGTACCATGTCATGTTGATCTCCCTGGAAACCATCGTGATAAATTCCTAGTGAATTTGTCACGATGAGCTAACTGACCTGACCTCATGCTCATCTTATCTTTCTCCACTGGTGCCCCGCCAGCGTAAACCGTTGGCGCAGGCGGGTGCACCATTGCATTACCTAAACATATAAATAAAACTGGAGTGTCTGTTGGTAATATTGAAATAATCGTTTTTAACTACATGCATACATAAATACGGTACATACACCAAAATAACGTTTTTTACAATTGTTGTCTGTCTGTCTGTTTGTTCCGTCTAATCTCTGACATGGCTAGACCGATTTTGGCAGGACTTTTATTGGCAGGTAGCTGATGTAATAAGGAGTAATTTAGACTACTTTTATTTTAGAAAAATAAAGTTCAACTCCACGCGGACGAATTATATATATAGATAGATATAATTATATCTATAAAAAAAGCCAACTATTATAAGAGTGGGAGTAGATGGGGATAAAACCTGTTATTGGCTTTCTCTAGATATGTACTGTTGATTAATGTATTAAATTGTAAGCTATATATATAAATAAATAAATTAAAAAAAAATGTTATCTAATTTATAGATAGGTCCCTAACTATAATTAAAAATGTTTATTATTTCATAATGATATAAATATATAAACTATAACTTTACACGAGTGACTTATAATCTATAACAGCATGCTTATTATATAAGCTTGGTTTCCAATAATTGGATAATATAATTAAAAATCCATTGGGTAAAACACTTCATCACTGAAGAGATACAGATGTTTGTATCAATGGTTTATGTGGCCATATGGGTATAACCAAAGATTTATTTCGGTTATTTACCACACTGATGTGATGGCTGGTGTAGGCTATGGTGTCCACTTAGGAAGAATGTATATATTTATTTTTTTATACATACAACTGTATAATAGAAGGATTATAGTGATCGCCAGCCAAAAGATTTAAATGTCGAAGTTTGAAATTCCTCGATGGCTGAGGTTTGTTAGGTCGGAAAATAATATTTTATTAAATAGATGATGTTGCCAAATAGAATTTTTAAATCATTTATTACAAATAAGTGTTTCCATTATTGTGAAGCGCTTTTGATATAGTATAGAAATACATTTATATATAAATATAAAACAGTATAATTCCTAGTTATTTAATCATGATGGGTAAATTGACGTGACCTCATGGTCATTTAATCATACTCCACTGGTATCCCTCTAGCATATATTGTTAACATAGGCAGGTGCTTACGATTATAAAAAAAAACTAACTACTCACCCCGGCTTTGCATGGGTGTACATGTATTATATATATAATATATATATAATACATGTACTATCCTTCCTTTTTTGAATCACTCTATCGATTAAAATCTGTTGCATAGTTTTAAAGATTTAAGCATACATAGGGACTTTGTTTTATACCATGTTTATACCAAGCTCTGCTTAGTTTAGGACTACATGATGATGTGTGAATTGACCAGCATTATTACATTTTACTAATATTATAAATGCAAAAGTTTGTGAGTATGGATGGGAGTTTGTTACTTTTCACATAAAAACTACTCAACGGATTTTGATGAAACTTTACAGTAACATAGCCTACACATCAGAATATAATAGCCTATAATTTAAAAAATATTATTAGGCGATATATAATGATAAATGTGATGCAGAAGAAGTCGCATAGGTCAGCTAGTATAAATATATATATACCAAATATCTACACATGAAAATAATATAATTACCTTCCACTGCAAAGATCCGGCAACAAACAAATGATCAATATCAATGAAAGACGAGAGGAAAGTGCAAAAAGCAATGTTAAAAAAGTACATTGTGTCCTTTACATTTTCGTGGGTGAAAAATAGTATTGACGACAGTAAACCTATGGTTGCGTGCACAGCACTGTCGGCGCAAGCTCTGAACACTAGTGATTGTGAAAATTTTGTATTTGAAACAATATAATCACCAATAATAGCAGTGACAAAAATGGACAAACTCAACACCACTGGGGTTTTCATTTTTATCCTTATTTACAGTATGTGGCACCGTTCAGACGATCAGAATGGTCATATTTAGTATTTTAAATATCTAATTATTGTTTTCTATCAATATTTCAAGTTTAATTGTATTATTTTAATTTATTATTACAAATCGCGATGAGATGAAATAATAATAGTTTAAACTTGATATCAAAACATATCAATACATCGATTTGAATTTGACATTTTATGACAATGACAGCAGACTCAGTTCCATTTTATTTTCGTTCAGAAATACACTGTTTTAATTTGACGCGTTCATTATTTATACATATAGGTAAAATCACAGGATTTTACCATGTTTTATTTGTTTTCATTGAGTTTCTGATATTTTGGCAGTGTTTCAACTGCAATGATCACGAATCACGGGTAAGAACTCAATATTGGCACATAATACAATGTCGTGATTTTTTCTAATATAATCAGAAAATTTCATTAATTAATAATAATTTAGTACGTCCATAGGCTACGGTAACCGTTTAGCATCAGATGTGCCGTATGCTTTTTTGCCAACTACGTGGTATAAAAAAAATTAAGTATTAATATAATATTTATTCTCCAGACCACACAATCTCTTAAATCCAGTCTATATAGCTTGCTAGGACAATTAATATTGGTGTAAATAAAAAAAGAATATATATAAAAAAGTATTCAATTAATTAATAATAATTAAGTATGGATATTTATTCTCCAGGCCACACAATGCCCTCGATCCAGTCTAAATAGCTTGATATTCTGGTGTAGACGGCTGGCGGTCCGTTAGCACACTGTTCACCAAACGACGTGATGCCAATAATATGAAAGATGCATTGTTTGTCTTTCGAAGGTATTTGTAAGGGAGATCCGGAATTAGCCTGAAATGAAAAAAAATACATGTTGTGTTCTTCTTCTTTCTGCTTCTCTGCCAATGTCAAGATTAGAAATGACGTGTAATAGGTTATTTCTGCGGATGTTAATGGAATGGTGCACTCGTCTACGCTAAGAGGGCATCCGTAAATTACATGAGATGTTTATTGGGATGAGGGAGTCGACTCATATCTCATCTAATCTTACGTTGGAGAGAGAGAGGGTCTCGGCAAATGTCACGAAATTTTTTTTTCTGATTGAAACAAAAGAAATTATACTATTTTGGTCCATTTAATCGAGATTGTACAGGCTTATTACACTTATAACTCTCAGCAATATTGATTAACTAGTCGTAAATAAAATTACGATCAATTTTTTTTTCTTTTCACAATAACAATCCTACGCGTTTACGTAAGAAACCCACATTTTGAAAAAGCTCATGTGAGATTGGGGAATGGGGGGGGGGGGGGGGGTTGAATAAAATTCCACGACATCTCACCAGGGGGGAGGGAGGCACAGAAAATTAAAAAAACACCTCACGTAATTTATGGACGTCCCCTAACAGTATACGCTGGCGGGACACCAGTGGAGAATCATGATTATGTGGTCAGGTCAGTTAGTACGACGTTGTAAATTCACCAGGAATTTATCACGATGGTTTCCAGGTGGAACCGCGTGTAGGGCAACCTGACATGGGACATTGCTAGAATTGTTCATGGCTACAATCAGGAACAGGAGTATCCGTTTAATGAACCAACATGTCACGTATAAAGTTAAAAGCCGCGTAAAAACAAAAGTGTGGAAATAAAATAAATAAATAAAAATTAAAATGAATTTCAGTACATTTATTAAAACATTGGGGCCGTTCAAGTATTACGTAAGCAGATTTATTACAGTCATTTACCCCCCATCCTCCTTGTCAGCAAAAGTAAACAAAGCTCTTACCCCTCCCCACTATGCTTAGGTAAACATTTTTCAATTAATGTATTGTTTTTTTAGACGACCTCGGTGGTCTAGCGGTCTAGCACAACGCTTTACGTCGCGGGTTCAATTCCTCGCACGGCACAAACATTTGTATTCATGAGTATAATTGTTTGTATCGGTCTGGGTATTTTCTATGTATAATATGTAGGTATTTACGAAAAAAAAAATCTATGTATTTATATCAGTTGTCTAGTACCCATAACACAAGCTCTAGCTAGCTTAACTTGGGTCTAGATGGCGCTGTGTGAATTGTCCTGAGATTATTATTATTATTATTTAGTAAAACAACGTGAGGGTAACAAAAAGTAAATACTATCGATGACGTAATCATCATCTAGACTCCCCTACCCCCATGTCGTCCAAAATAAGCAAAACAAAGCCCCAATAGTGCTTACGTAATACTTCAACGGCCCCAATGTTTTAATAAATTAGTAGTACTGAAATACTCTATTTTTTATTTAATTAATAAATAAAAAATAACGGCTCCATTCACGAAAATAATAAAATTAATATTTTACAACAAAAGATGCTGGCTCCTATCCAGCACAGACTACTAAAACACAAAAAATGTTCATCACACAGATAATCTATCTTAATTTTTTTTTTTTTGGTTCTGGTTATCCTTTATCGGAAAGGGAAAGGGAATTGCGCCCATACAGCCATCTGAATTTAATTACCCGACAGGTGTCCTTTCCTCCTCTGAGCTCACCAGCGCACATCTGCGACAGCGACAGTCCCCTCAAGTTAGAGTGTCTAGTGTCGAGCAGTTTAGCACAATCAGTATTGTTCAACAGATTTACCGACACCTTTTGTAGATCTTTCGCTACCTCTCTTATATCTGAAATGAAAGCTATTTATAACTAGCTGCACCCGTGACTTCGTCCGCGTGAAATTTAAGTTTATTTTTCTAAAATAAAAGTAGCCTAAGTTACTGCTTATTTCATCAGCTACCTGCCAATAAAAGTCCCGTCAAAATCGGTCCAGCCATTTCAGAGATTAGCCGGAACAAACAGACAGACAGACAAAAATGTTATTTTGGTGTATATACCGTATTTAGGTATATTCTTTTGAAATAGTAAATTTTGTAATAGTATGTAGTAGATGATACAGTTTTTTTAGGAATACAGTGGACTCGAAGTTACAATGGGGGCCCCATATTTCAAAATTAGCCAGTAGACTTAGTTCTGCTGCTTATGCAATTAGAAGGATAAGGCAATTAACAGACGTGGCGATGGCAAAACTTGTATATTTTAGTTATTTCCATAGCATTATGTCATATGGCATACTGCTATGGGGTAAAGCTGCCGATGTAAATACTATATTTATTTTATAATAGAGAGCCATACGTTCTATTTATGGTATGGGTTCAAGAGAGTCATTACGTCAATGCTTTAAACAATCAAATATCCTCACCGTTGCCTCACAGTACATTTATGAAAATATTATGTATACAAGGAAAAACTTAGATAGTTTCAAGAAACTTAAAGACTGTACAAGTAGAAACTTACGCAATAAAAATAAGCTAATTTTACCTAAATGCCGTCTACACAAAGTTAGTAATTCATTTTATGGTAATTGCGTAAGATTCTATAATAAACTGCCAGAGTCTACGCTAAATATTACAGAGAGGCAATTCAAATCTTATATTAAACAAATGTTATGTAAAAAAGCCTATTATAGGATAGATGAATTTATAGATGATAGCAATATATAGCAAGTATAAGTTTATTTGCGGACAACGTTATAATTTATTGTTCATACTGCTTTCTTGATATATGATAGCATAGCGGCTTTTGTATTGATTGCCGCATGCATCCTCATGTAAAGTGCGAATACTGTAACTACCACCATATAGTAATTTTTGTAGCTGTGACGTGGTCGAGTGGAATGAGTAGTCATGCTCACTAAAATGTCTAGACATGTGGCGGCGTGGTGGGCCGGGTCATTGGGCTCCCTAAAATATGGTCGAGCGCAGTGATGGCTGACTCATCCGTCATACTCGTGAACGAGTGCTGCTTGTAGGGACTGGTCTGCTCTTATCACTACGACTGATTTAATCTTATTGTGTTTTTATATTTGAGCCTAAATAAATTAGTGCTGGTTGGTAGTTTGTATTCACACGTTTCGACTTGTAAAATGTGAACTTACAAGGATTGTTTAAAAGAGCAACACACAAGTTTCTTGCTTATTCTTCTTGTGATGAGACAGCTTTCCGAATAAGCGGTAGATTTAAAAAAATGTTGACTGTCCAAAAGTGCTTAAATTAAGTTTATTTGAATGAATTATTTTCTATTCTATTCTATAAATTATTGTCCTAAGATATAATTATTAGTTCAATTATTTTAAATTACTTACCAGGGTTGACAGTTCCCCATCCGGTAGCTATAGCTTTAGTTTCACCCCCGAATCCGTTTTGCTGCCACAAGCAGGCGGGCCGTATGTCTGAATCGATCTCCACGTCCAAGTTTAGTTCCAGCAACGCGATATCGTTGTATCTCGCTGGCGGACGGTAGTCGGGGTGTTTGTGGATTCTCTTTATAGGAACCTGATGTAATATAAACAATCGATATAATTATACATACTAACTGTGCCCTCGGTTTCATCTGCGTGAAATTTATAGCCTATATGTTATTCTGATGTATAAGCTATATTACTGTAAAGTTTCATCAAAATCTGTTTAGTAGTTTTTGCGTGAAAGAGTAACATTATACTATTATTGTTATCTTATTTTCACAGCTATTGGTTTTTTACACTTTTTTACTTTGTGGCGTATACCACACCTACGGGCCTGAACTTATAAACTTACTAACTGTGTTCGCGACTTCGTCCGCGTGGAATTCACTTTATTTTTCTAAAATAAAAGAAGCCTAAGTTACTCCTTATTACGTCAGCTAGTTGCCAAAAAAGTCCTGTCAAAATCAGTTCAGCCATTTCAGAGAACAGCCGGAACAAACAGACAGACAGACAAAACTGGTAAAAAATGTTATTTTGGTGTATGTACCGTATTTATATTCATATGCATGTAGTAAAAAACGGTTATTTCAATATTACAAACAGACAATCCAATTTTATTTATATGTTTAGGTAATGGAATGGTGCACCCGCCTGCGCTAACGGTTTACGCTGGCGGGGCACCAGCGGAGGATGATAAGATGAGCATGAGGTCAGTTAAATAGGTTATTTTTCAGGGAGGCTCTCCTAATGAGTGGTAGATTAGAAAAATTAGTATGACAAATTAATTAAACAAATAAAACAAAACAATATAAATAATAATAATAATATTTCAGGACAATTAACACCAGTTCTAGTCCCACGGTAATTTATGGTCGGACATGGACAAAACGAGCATGCGGCTCTACAACTGATATAAATACATGGATACATTTTTTTTAAATAAATACATATTATACATAGAGGATTACCGTGCGAGGAATGAACCCATGAGCACCCGCAACATATACAATATAAATATATATATAAATACAACAATAACAGTAAAACAAATATTCAAATAATCTTATTATTTGAATAAAGCCCATTTTCTTGATTTTTTTTTATTTTATTCGATATAAAACGAGCATGTTGATGTAAGTGATTACCGCCGCCCATGAGCACCCACAAGGGGAATTGCAAGTACGCTGTCGGCCTTTTAAAAAGGAATAAGCTCTTTTCTTGAAGGTTTTAATATCGTATCAGTTCGGAAATACCATTGCTGGAAGGTGATTCCACAACCGTTGTGCGAGGCAAAAAGTTTCTAGAGAACCGCACAGTGAAAGACCGCCATTCATCCAGATGATCAGGATGGTATTTCAGTTTCTGGCGGGTGGTACGGTGGTGAAACTCAGCAGCTGGTATTAATCCGAACAAATCCTCAGAATACTCCCCGTGATATATGCGGTAGAAAATGCACAGAGATGCAATATCTCGCCGCAGAGCCTATCTATGATATAACTTTTTAATTGTCTATTTTTAATATAATTGATTTCATTGTAGTGTAACGAAGACAGTTCACGTATCTATATTAAATATATACCTAATTTAAATTAATTCATTTTATTATTTATATATATATATATCTTATATATAAAATTCTCGTGTCACAGTTTTCGTTCCCATACTCCTCCGAAACGGCTTGACCGATTCTCATGAAATTTTGTGAGCGTATTGAGTAGGTCTGAGAATCGGCCAACATCTATTTTTCATCCCTCATATTAGGGGTAGTCCACCCCTAAATTTTATTTTTTTATTTTTTAGACAGCATTTTTAGTTTTTTATGATACAACATACAAAAATACATACAATCGTAATTTTCACCCTTCTATCATCAACCTCTATTTTTTTATAGCGTTATTAATTTATACGGCAAAACAAACGTTTGCCGGGACAGCTAGTATATATATATATATATTGTTACACACAAAGTTGTGTTACAAACAGAGTCAATGGATCAAATCTGTCACATAGACGTTGATTACCAATGATTCTGGCTGATATGATGAGTTTGTTCCTCATTGTAATATACGTACATCCACTGGGTTGGCTCCATCACTGACACTAGGGTCTATGTTCTGGTCTCCAAGCCTAACGATGACAGGCTCAGGATCCTTCGCTCGAAGATTTCGGGTGCAGTGGCCGGCTGTCAGCACGAACCGAGGACTGATGAGGGCTTCACCACAGCTGAAGTTGTAGCCGTCGTCGAAGTTTGTGAAACCTATTGCTGCCTAAACATTTAAATTAATGAAGACCATTTTGATTTTATGTGATTTCATTGCACTAGTAAATAATACGAATATATAAAATTCCATGTCGTTTAGTGTTCAATATTCTCTTATATAAATATATTATTATACTAGCCGTTACCGCGACTTCGTCCGCGTGGAATTTAACTTTATTTGTCTAAAATAAAAGTAGCCTAAGTTACTCGTTACAACATCAGCTACCTGCCAAAAAAAGTCTTATCAAAATTTTTCCAACCAGCCATTTCCGAGATTAGCCGAAACAAACAGACAGACAGACGAAAATTGTAAAAAATGTTATTTTAGTATATGTACCGTATTTATATTCATATACATGTAGTAAAAAATGATTATTTCAATATTACAAACAGAGTGTATAATTTCTATATAAGTGTAACTGGCAGCCTACAAATATGTGCGTTGCCATATTCGTAAAAACATAATAAAAAAGAAAGTTAAAAAAGAATAAAATTCAAAAATTAACAGAGACATTAACGCAACATTGTATTTTTTATTTCATAAACATAATTAAATATCTATCAACCATCCCTCAAATTCTCGATCAGGTTTAACACAGAGGCTCCAATTTTATTTATATGTATAAATGAAATTTCGTTTTACCCGCGACTTCGTCCGCGTAAATAATGAAAAAATATTTTAACTCAATCTAACACATATATATATTTTCTTAAATTGAGGCTCTACTGAAATGAAAAGATAATTATGAATTTATATATAATATATTTATATATTTATGTTTATATTTATACATTTATTTATATGATGTTTATTATTATTATTAATTTTTATTGAAATTTATATTTAAAATATTTTGCTTTATATTTATATATATCTTTTTTTTTTTTAACAAATTTATATTAGTACCGCCAACAATCTTTCTCTGCACCACTCATGGTTGACTGTGAAACGCCGCATGGTGTTAAGTCCGACAGACAGACAGAGTTACTTTCGCATTTATTAAATAAATAAAAAATAAAAATAAAAAATAAATGACTTACCATATGCGGAAACTCCCCTTGGTCAGAGCTCTCACCCCCAACAATGAGTTCCACTCCTGAATACTTGCATTTTAGTAAAGATATAGATATCATCTCAGGGTTTGTCATTAACGTTATAAAATCGATCTTCTCTGTCACACCTCGGCTGTACTGCTCACACTCTAGAAACAGAAGCTTTTTTTTTTATTATTAATTTTTTAATTCATTTTGGTACAACCAGTCATTACATATAATCTATACATATAAATAAAATTGAACTGTCTGTTTGTAATATTGAAATAAACGTTTTTTACTGCATGTGTTGAAAATTATGTTTAAATAGCTGTCGCCGCGACTTCGTTCGCGTGGAATTCAATTTTAATATTCTAAAATAGAAGCATTTTTTTAAAATAATAGTAGCCTAAGTTACTCCTTATTACATCAGCTACCTGCAAATGAAAGTTACGTCAAAATCGGTTCAGCCATTTCAGAGAACAGCCGGAACAAACAGACAGACAGACAAAAATGGTAAAAAATGTTATTTTGGTATATGTACAGTATTTATATTCATATGCATGTAGTAAAAAACGATTATTTCAATATTACAAACAGACACTCCAATTTTATTTATATGTATAGATTATTTATTTATTTACGTCACACTAAGTGAGCTTTACAGTCTGCCAATATGTCCACTTAGGAAGATTGTATACAAATACACACAGTTACAAACTACTTACTAATACATACACACTTATTACACGAGGAAACAAAAGAAAAAAAAAATACCTAATCTTAATTTTACATACTACATAAATAGTCCACTGGCCTCCTACGAAACTCATCATGTGACACCCATGATACCAGTTAAAGTTGTGCCAACTCGAGTTACTAACTCTAGTTGCAGTGAATTCGAGCTGAATTCTGCCAACTCGAGTTGGAAGAATTCAACTGGTAAATGAATGAATCAAGTGAAAGAGCGAGAACATGATTCTGTCGTCGAACTGACAATGACATGAAATTTTCCCATCATTTCATCTCATACAATTTTCAAATAATATCTAATCTTAATTTTACATACTACATTAATATACTTCCATCCTACGAAACTCCAGCGAAGTACAAGTAAATATGTCTATTATATATTTTGTTAGCGATTTTATTACTCACTTCGTTCGCTAACTCTCCTTGTGTCTGTACCGACGCTCGAAATTGGTGGACCACTGAAGGAAGATATATCATTAGCAGATTGTATTGCCATCTCAACATACGCATTCCATTAGCATGTAGTCCCCCTTTCATTCGATGCTAGAAGCGTAGCGTGGCTTGGCGGGCCCCGTATAAAAATTTGTTTCGGGTCCCTTTACGAAGGGTAAAGATTTCTCACAAAAGAAACAAAACTGCATAAAATTTGAATAAAGAATAAGAATAGAAAATCATTTATTCAAATAACTTACATTCAGCTTACTTTTGAATAGTCATTACATTTTTTTAATCTACCGCTCATTCGGAAAGCTGTCTCATCACAATATATAAAATTTTCACAGTCTTTATAGATGTTGCCGTAAAGTGAACGACATTTTACTGAAAAAACAAGTCAATGAAATTTCTTACGGATTATGAATTATTAATAATTTAATTAAAAATACAAGCGGCCACATTTTGATAGGCAACCTGGTAGATATAAATTCTCCTAATGATAAATATGTGTAAAAATTTGGTTTTCAGCAAACACTCGATGGGTACACTGATTCTGCAGCGGGATCTCGGACTACAAGAAGAACGAGCAAGAAATTTGCGTGTTGCTCTTTTAAATAATTTTATTATTACTTTACATTTTTAAGTTTAAGTGTGTGAATACAAACCACCAATTAGCACTAATTCAATTAAATACTCAAATAGAAAAAAATATTGAATATATAACCAACTGGTTAAAGAATTAATAAGAGGAAATCAGTCATAGTGATTAGAGCAGACCAGTCCCTACAAGCAGCACCCGTTCACGAGTGTGCCGGATGAGCCAGCCATCATTGCACTCAACCATATTAGAGGGAACACATCGACCCGGCCCACCACGCCGCCACAAGTTTGAACTTTATAGCGAGCATGACTGTTTCAAGTCACTCCACTACGTCATTTATACTATTTACAGCATAAACTGTACCAATCACAGTTTTCACCCATTACAATATTCTCTCTCTCTCTTGTGAAGACTGGTCTGTTCGGGTTACGAACACTGATTAGACTATTTGCTTTAGCAATAGCAATATAGATAATAATAATAATAATAATAATAATAATAATAATAATAATAATAATCTCAGGACAATTCACACAGCGCCATCTAGACCCAAGTTAAGCTAGCTAAAGCTTGTGTTATGGGTACTAGACAACTGATACAAATACATAGATAATTTTTTCTCTATTATACGTAGAAAATACCCAGACCGATACAAACAATCATACTCATGAATACAAATGTTTGTGTCGTGCGAGGAATATCGGTCGTAAAGCGGTTATAGACCACCGAGGTCGTCAATAGATTCTCAAATTTGAATTTAAAAATGAATCTGTATTATTGTAAACATGTACAACATTTATTTGAAAAGAATATGAGCTGAGTTTCTTGTCAGTTCTTCTCATCTCGAAATCATTCCGAATTGACGGTAGATTTGACATATCATGAGAGTCTGTAATAAACCTACATGAAAAAAAATATTTTGTGTTTTTAAAACTGAATTTGATCTGTCTCTTTTCTTTAGCCCTTTGCGGTACTTTTTCATTATTTATTTCATCTTGTCAACTCTAGAATACATTGGCTTTGCGGCGAGATAATGCATCTCTGTGCATTTTTTACCGCATTTATCACGGGGAGTGTTCTGAGGAATTGTTCGGATTATTACCAGCTGCTGAGTTTCACCACCGTATCACCCGCTTGAAACTGAAATACCATCCTGATCATCTGGATGAATGGCGGTCCTCCACAGTGCGGTTTTCTAGAAACTTTTTGCCACGCACAATCACATTGTGGAATCACCTTCCAGCAATGGTATTTCCGAACCGATACGATATTGAAACCTTCAAGAAAAGAGCTTATTCCTTTTTAAAAGGCCGACAACGTACTTGCAATTCCCCTGGTGTTGCGGGTGCTCATGGGCGGCGGTATTCACTTACCATCAGGTGAGCCGCATGCTCGTTTGTCCCCTTTGTTATAAGTAAAAAAAAACATTGATAAAATTAACTTACTCGCTGTTTGGCGGTGTTGACGCTTGCAAGATATTGGAGTTATCTTTACAACATATGAATGGATTCCCGAAGACACTGTATTTGCAAAATGTTGGGATTGTACCGTTCTTTCTGGAAACAAAACACATCTTAATTGATTAACGAGAAAACAATCCTGATTTCATATAAACCTTCATCTACAATCACTTATGTCTCATCCGTCATACTCGTGAACGAGTGCTGCTTGGCCTCACTATGACTAATTTAATATTATTGTGTATTTATATTTAACCCTAATAAATTAGTGCTAAATGGTAGTTTGTATTCACACGTTTCGACTCGTAAAAGTGAACTTACAAGGATTATTTAAAAGAGCAACACACAAGTTTCTTGTTCGTTCTTCTTGTTATGAAACAGCTTTCCGAATAAGCGGTAGATTTAAAAAAAATATTGTTATGACTTCTTTAAAAAAAATTATTGTTATTCTATTCTATTCTTAAAATCCGTTGCGTTCTTTAAAAGATCTAAGCGACCGGACCACGGAAGATTTTTCATTTTATACTGTGTAAATATACATTATTCATATTATTAACCGGGTCTTAACACGACAAATTTTATGGCAAATAAAGGTATTTTACCTCTCTCGACGTTTCGACCAGGTTGCACTAGCCGTGTTAAGATCCGGTTAATAATATAAATAATTTATATTAAACACGAAAGTTTAATAATCTCATATATAAAATTCTCGTGTCACAGTTTTCGTTCCCATACTCCTCCGAAACGGCTTGACCGAACCGATTCTCATGAAATTTTGTGAGCGTATTGAGTAGGTCTGAGAATCGGAAATATTATATTAAAAAAAGAAGAAATTGTATATTAAACACGAAAGTTTAAATATAAATATATAAATATATTTGATTATTTAATTTGTCTAGAAAATTACTCTTTTATCAGCAATATTATTCTTATTTAACTTGATGGTCTAGTCGTTTAAATAGAAAAATGCCATTTTTCAATATTAGAAGCTAGAATTGCCTACTTTTATATAAGTCAATTAAATCAACCACGCCGTCTTAATCATTATCTAAATACTTCTAAAATGATATATGATACTTCTGTGTAAATTTAAAACTTTAAAGGAAAATATAATTTAAATAAATAAAAAAAAAACTTAAATGTTTGTCATGTAAAAAAGTGTACATTTTGGATACTGCCATTTTTTATTTAACCGATATATTTAAAACTAAATTGTGACATGGAACATTGAACAACTCACTGAAAGTCTTCTTTGGCTGATCTGCATCTGTCTGCGGGAGTGCATATTCCTTGAAAGTTGGTGTATTTGTCTACGCAGGAGTCACCCTCTGTTGGTCAAATATAAATGAATTATTTACCAGGAGTACAGTTCGTACCAGGGTTCACGCGATATATATCATCGATTGATTTTTTTCTGTCTTCTGAACTAAAAATTTTGGAGATTAATGGTTACTCTAAAATCCTTTCACATTTTTAAGACTATTGCTATTGACAAAATAATATATATGCATGGTGACTGAGGCCCTCACTGGACACTGCAAATAGAACAAATATATCACTGCAACCTAAACATCGCCCTCAACAAAAAACTGCGATTTGCTGCACTTGATGGAACTTTACAGTAATCCTTACTGATCTAAATACTTAAAGGTGACTGACTGACATTGATCTATCAACGCACAGCCCAAACCACTGGACGGATCGGGCTGGTGATTTGCAGGCAGATGTTATGACCTAGGCATCCGCTAAGAAAGGATTTTGATTAATTCTACCTGAGGATAAAATAGAGGGGATGAAAGTTTGTATGAAACTTTGTCTATTTTAAATCGATCAGGCTGAGACTGCATTCAAAAAATCTACTATATTGTAGGCATCCCCTAAGAAAGCGATTTTTGATAAATTCCATCTCTAAGGGGATAAATTAACCGCAACGAAGCCGTGGTCAAAAGCTAGTATTATATATGCTATATGCAAAAATAACCCTGTTTGTCTGTGTGTCTGTCTCGCTTTCACTTCAAAACTACTGAGACTGATTTAAATGTAATTTAGTACACAGATAGTCTAAACCATGAGAAAGGACATGGTCTACTTTTTTTTAATCCGAAAAAGGGTTGTAAGGGGTTGAAAGGGGAGCTGAAAGTTTGTATAGAAATTCATCTGTTTTAAAGCTAGTAGCTTGAAACTTATTTTAGGCTGTTTATAAATTATAATAAATAAATAATAAATATATATAAATAATAAATAATCTCAGAACAACTCACACAGCGCCGTAGACCCCAAGTTAAGCTAGCTGAAGCTTGTGTTATGGGTACTAGACGACTGATATAAATACTTAGATATATTTATTTGTAAATACATACATATTATACAGATACAAACAATCATACTGATGAATACAAATGTTTGTGCCGTGCGAAGAAATCTAATTTGAATTTTGAAAAGTGATATTGAAATAACCGTTTTTACCACATACATATGAATATAAATACAGTATATACACCAAAATAACATGTTTACAATTTTTTTTCTGTCTGTCTCTTTGTTCTGGCTAATCTCTGAAAATGCGGCTGACCGATTTTGGTGACTTATTTTGGCAGGTAGCTGATGTAATAAGTAGTAACTTAGGCCACTTTTATTTTGAAAAATAAAGTTAAGATTCCACGCGGACGAAGTCGCAAATTTTTCCCGTATGCATGTATATATTGCATGTATGTATATATGCAGTCTCATCTATAAATACACCTGACTGAATTACAAACTTTTTACTCTATGTTTTACTAGCTATGCCCGCCCACGGCTTCGATCACGTGAAATTTATAGGTCTGATGTACTTTCAGCTATATTACTCTAAAGCAGTGATTCCCAAAGTGGTCTATATCGACACCCAGGGGTCTACGACAAACTGCAAGAGGTCTACGACAGCGATCATCTTGTTTTACTTTATGTTTTTAACACTACACTTTACTATAGTTAGAAATTGACAAAAAAAATATTATCGTG